ACCGGCGGTGCTTCAGGAGGGGATTGAAGTACCAATGTTCGCTTTCTGTGTTATTTTACCATGATGGAATGAGTTGTTGGGCCATAAACTATACTGTCTGACATACAGGATCTAGTGGAACACTGTTCATTCGGTTAAATGTGGGCTTTTGTTTGCTGATACATGCCGAACGTCATGTCAGAGAAAACAAGTGATCGTTATCTAGCAGTAATTCCTTTTGTGGGTCTGAAATAATAATTAGGAAGACCAAACTAATGTTAGCTGACCTCCACATAGATCTCCTGTAACCTTATTCAAACTTGGTTTACAGGACGCCTCTGATATTTTGAGTTTTTGCATGTTATTGAGTTAATCTATTGAATTTGCGGTTTTAAAGATATTAAACATTCTAGAAAAAGAGATTCTTATATAAAAAGAGAACTGTAAATGTTCTGTATTATTTATTTACATCATTCTGCATTGGCTTTTCTTTTTAAAACACCTAATAAATCTTAAAATTAATGTAAATTCCTCTTTGCCAGATATTAAGGCATCGAATAAATCAAATGAAAATGGAGGAAAAAAATAATAATAAACAATATACAAGCGATGTTCCAGCAGCTGATGGAAGTCAGTTGATGTATTACTGCTAAGTTTTTTGTACAAATTGATAAGGATTATTTTCTATAGTGTTGGGATGTGCAAATATCCTGTTGATATTTAGAAATACTGCGGTATCTTTTGCTAATATAAATGCTAATTAAAATTAAAAATTTTGTAAAAATGTATGTGTTGTTTATATGTAATTGCTCATATTTTACAAATGGTCTTTATTATCTTCATAGGGGAGAAATAACAACAACTTGTTATGAGAGAAATATTTTTTGTTCTCACCATAGCTTAGTCTAACTCGTTTATTTTGGAGTCCAACATATTTAGTTTTAATTAAACTATTAAAAAGAGCTTACATCACGCAGTTTTTTAATAAATCGTATATTATTGCATGCTTATAATTTTTTAGCGAGCCTTTATCATAGTGCAGATGCGGGCAGTCAAATGAGTAGTTTGGCGTGGTTGATTTGACGAACAAGCGTTTGGTTGAAAGCTTGATTTTGCGGCTCCACCTCTGGTAGTCCTTCTGCGCATGCCCAGGCATATTTAGCGGATGTCTTGCAACAGTTTGTGCTTGTCATAAGGCGTTTTGCATTCAAAGCTTCTAATGGGAAAAGGCACTGTGGCGTCATCCATATTTTTTCAGACATTGGCGCGCTCACAACCGAGAACTGTAAAGGTTTTTATACATGACGCTCTTGCCTGAAACACAAGCATTTCTCATGTGAGATGAACATCAAAAATTGCAAATTAGAAAAGGTTGCTCAGTTAAATGATGCTACTGTAAGTAATGTTCATTCAGCAATAATAACAGAACCGTAAACGTCAGTTCTTAACGATATTTCGGTCTGTTACCGATAAAGTACCGAGTACCCTACACTCTCAGAAATAAAGGTACAGCAGCTGTCACTGAGGCAGTACCTTTTCAAAAGATACATATTTATACCCACATTGGTACCTCAAAGGGACATATTAGTACCCCAATGTACCAAAAAGTACCATTATGGACCCTTCAGGTACAATTTTGTTCCTTTCGAAAAGGAACTGCCCCAGTGACTTTATTTAAATACCTTTAAATACCTTTATTTACAGAAGACCTTCAGAAGAAGTTCACTCCTAAAATGGAGGTTTTGGCATCATGTACTCCATGCAATTTCTGCAAAAGACAAAGTTTTTTGTTTTGTGTGTGCAAGTTTAAGTCAGTTGGGTCCAATATTATGGTTTTCATTTAATGATCAAAAGTATTTTTACTCCGTCATATTGACACTCTTTTCATTATCCCCAAAAGGCAGATGTTTCAGTAGTCTTAATTATGCCTTTTCTTGGTCTCATTGAATTCTTTAAACTGTTTTCACCATGCACAGAATTAGAAACGCATAAACTGCGCATGTTGTTACACAAACTGCCTGTCGTCTAGTCCGAACGTGATTTCCACTGTGAATTCTGTTGCTCGTTTCTGTCAAGCGGCTCTGATTGACAGCAGGGACCAGTGTTGACTGGCGTCAAGCAGGCCAGCGTTGGACCAGCGACAACTTCTGCATCTGCGAAGGAGACAATTTTATTTGCGTAGCATCCGTTTGCATACGCTTCTGCAAAAGCGTGGCACAGCTTGGCATAAACACTTGGGGGAAGCGCCTATAGGAGTTAATGATAGTAGCAGTCACATACGGCAACATCAGGCTTGTGTGCGCGTGACAGCTTTACTGCCGTACAGTCATCCGCCGCGCCACGACACGGCGAGGATGTTTCTGCCGCTGCCAACGTTCCTCTCTCGCCTGCCAGAGCCTTCAATCTCCTCGCCGCTCTCTGTATCACATACTAACTCTCTCACTCTGTCTTCCCCCATCAGCACCACCGCCTCCCACCGAGAAAAACAGCAACCAGTCATCATCCGCGCCTGCATATATACGCAAATAAAAACAGACACCCTCGCTGCACAACGCGCACACACACACACACACACACACACACACATGCACACTGAAAGATTAATTTTGTTTTAAAGCGCAGGTATGGATGTGCAAGCTGCATTTGAGCTACCCAGCTGCTGTTCTTTTTGAATGGTCGCAGCTTGTTGTACTTTGAACAAGGGATCACTGGCAGTTCCCCATGGCTAGTCTACAGTGCAGGACTGGCCAGACGTGGCTAACCCATATGGCCATGGAAATCCATATGCTGCTGGTGCTAGGACTCTCCCTTTGGGGCTGTGCAGTAAGGTAAAGCCCCAAAGGCTGGGCCTCCTTTCGCCAACACACACCCCCCGACTCACACACACACACTCCCAATCTTTCTTCCACTAAACCCCTGGTGCTACTCAGCCATTGTCCCAACAATCTGCTGTCACCTCCGTCGTCCCCACACCACAAGCGAAACGATCAATGAGCTAATGGCCGCTAATTATTTTAGCCTCTGATCACCCTCCCCTCTACATCAGCTTGGTGGAGTTTCCCTTTAAATCCATTGGTTTGCACATTCATTTGCCATCCACTGTTCTGCTTAACAGGTAGTTCTTTGGAACTGCTTTACGCATTTTGCCTCACAAGCCAAAGCCATGCAGAAGGTGTACTTTACACTAATCAGTTCGACTTGTGATTTGAAAACAACTGTGTAGTCTTTATCTCTGTGTTGTAGACATGTAAAGTTTTTGCTACTTTTATTTTGGCAGGATACAGCATGCAGCCATTTTTATTTAAAAAAAAAAAAAAAAAATATATATATATATATATGTTTCAGAAGATATTTGAATAGCAGTATTTGACTGGTTGACGGAGTCAAACAGTATTCGAGTACAGACATTAAACAGTATCAATGCTCTCTTACTTTTTTTATCTTGTTTCTAGTCTAAATATATAGAATAGACCAAGTAAAAATATTGGTGAGCTTTATCTGTCAGAAGGAATAAGTGAAAATCAAGAGATTTTGCTTGTTTTGAAGAAATTATCTGCCAGTGGGGTAAATGAAATATATATATATATATATATATATATATATATATATATATATATATAATTTTTTTTTTTTTTGTTTTTTTGTTTTAATGTGAAATGTAGATATTTGGACTAGAAACAAGATAAAAATTCTAAAAAAAATATATAAAAAAATTGTTGCATAAATCATATAAAATCCATATAAATACAGTTATTAAAAACAATTCTATACCTCCTGGTCAATTATAATTCAGACTGGACATTGCATATTTTTGCGATTGTGACTATTGCGATGCCCACATTGCGATATCAATGCTGAAATTATATATTGTGCAGCCCTAACTAATATACATAGTTGAAGTCAGAATTATTAGCCCCCTTTGAATTTTTTTGTCTTTTTTTTAAATATTTCCAAAATGATGTTTAACAAAGCAAGGAAATTTTCACAGTATGTCTGATAATATTTTTCCAGCCAATTAGTAATGATTAAAAACATTAATCACATTGATTAACAACTCTGGTTAACACAGTTTATGAGATAAACAGATGATACAGACAAAACAAGTTGGGTGAAAAATTCCTTTAAGCTTATATTAGAATAATATCTGGCAACCATAACATCACAGAGACTTGGATTTATACTTTTTAAACTTTTTTTGACTAAATACACAACACACACCTAAATACACAAAACAAATTGGGCGGAAATTCCATTAAGCTTATATCAGAATAATATCTGGCAACCATAACATCACAGAGACTTGAATTTAGGCTTTTTAAACTTTTTTTCCCACTAAACGCACAACACACACTTAAATACACGAAACAAAATGGGTAAAAATTATTTTAAGCTAATGTCAGAATTATATCTGGCAACCATAACATCACAGAGACTTGAATTTAGACTTTTTAACTTTTTTCATTTTTTTTTTACTAAATACACAACAAAATTGGCGAAAATTCCTTTAAGCTTATATCAGAATAAAATCTGGCAACCACAACATGACAGGCATGGATTTGTTGGTACAAATTTTTCGTTATTCCCTAGAACTAATGGTGTTTAAGAATATTGTGGCTGAAGTGTTCAAACTGATGTAAAAAGTAAAGGACGGCCGCTCCAAACGTAGAAACAAATAGTCAGACTTTGAAGATTACCATTTTCTTCACTGGATTAACTTCAGCATGGATTAAGTGTTCACCTAAAGAATAACAATGTGTGCTAGCAACATAAACATTCACAATTTTTTGCCTTCACACCGACACTCTTTAGGCACTCAATACATGTTAGCAACCTCATAGAAACACCCTAGCAACATGTCATCTGTTCATCACATAATCCTCTTGTCATGTCATCTTCAAGTCATTAATTAAGCCTTATCCCTTGAATGGTCTGTAATGTGTGTGTGTGTGTGTGTGTGTGTGTGTGTGTGTGTGTGTGTGTGTGTCTCACTCTTTCTCTCCCCCTCTCTCATTTCTTTTCAGGAGGTCCTGCAGACAGTGCCTAAGTTCTGCTTCCCATTTGACGTGGAAAGGTAGGACATCCCTCTCGCTTCCCAGCAAATAAGCCAATCGATGTGTGAATTGGGAAAGACGAGGATGTTTGTTTATACAACACGCATTCACACATGCTCAAGAGGCTGTCGCAAATGACTCACAGGGTGGAGCCGCACACCTCCATACTTCTGTTCCTAATGTCAGACCCTTCATTTAAACGCTGCCGGAATAAACGAAACCTTCATCCAACAAGGAAACAATGCCTGTTCTGACCGAAGGACGCAATAATATTCTCACAGACAGCCTGTGTGTGTGTGTGTGCGTGCCTTGTATTTCTTACATTCCTAATGTCCAATGTCCACTAATGCAACAGTATCAGTACATTTAGACCTTGTGAGGATGTTTTATTTACTACTTATTGGTATTTATGAGGAAAACGGCTCATAAATCACACAGAATTGAGTATTTTGGTCAATGAAAGCATGCAGATTGTTTACTGGGTTGGGTTTATGGGGGTAGAATATTCAGTTTGTACAGTATGAAGATCATCGTGTCTATATGGGAAAGTCCACATAAAGGTGTGTGTTTGCTTGTGGAAATGAAAAATGGAAAGTGCTGTTGTATAGTTTATGTGCAGTGTTACAAGTTCATTGCCGTTTTGCTGAAGCCGTTTTGCTGAAGCCTTATTGCTGCCATCTAGTGGAGATCTAAGACTCTCTCCTGTCACTTTCAGCTGTTAGAGGCTACAAAATGTATCTTTCTGCTTTCAAATGGGTGTGAAATTAGATTAAGATGATCCTTTTTAATATTTAAGTCAGTTATGATTGTGGATTATAAGATTTAGTTGGTGTTGTTTACAGTGTTTGGATCATATATCCTTGAAGTAGTGTGTGTGATTTATATATTTGTAAATGATGTGTGCTTTTTGTGTGTTTGTTTGGTGGCCTGCAGAGTTTCTCCGACTCAGGTGGGCCAGAACTTCACGTTTGTGCTCACAGACATTGAAAGCAAGCAGAGGTTTGGGTTCTGTCGGCTGACGTCCGGCTGCAAGCTCTGCATCTGCTTGCTCAGGTAAGAGAAATGAGAACATGACCGATTTGTTTTATCCTCAATCTTTCGTTGAGTCTTTAAACATTCATTTGTTATTAGTTAAATTTTCTTTTTAGAATTTTGACAGTTTGCATCATCAAATCAGTACATATGATGACAGATTTGAACATAGTATAATAAAGATTCATTGCGTGATCAATTGGTTCATGAAACTATATTTTTTGAAAACAAGTAACAGTTGAACCCCCTAAATTATTATTCCCCCTGTTATTTTTTCCCCAATTTCTGTTTAACGGAGAGATTTTTCTCACATTTTCAACACATTTCTAAACATAATAGTTTTGATAACTCATCTCTTATAACTGATTTATTTTGTCTTTGCCATGATGATAGTAAATAATATTTGACTAGATATTTTTCAAGACACTTCTATACAGCTTAATGTGACATTTATTGGCTTAACTAGGTTAATTAGGTTAACTAAGCAGGTTAGAGTAATTAAGCAAGTTATTGTATCACTATAGTTTATTCTGTAGAATATCGAATAAAAATATAGCTTAAAGGGGCTAATAATTTTGACCTTAAAATGTTTTTTAAAAATTAAAAACTGTTTTTATTCTAGCCGAAATAAAACAAACAAGACTTTATCTAGAAGAAAAAATATTATCAGACACACTGTGAAAATTTCTTTGCTCAATTAAGCATCATTTGGGAAATATAAAAAAAATCAAAGAGGGTTTAATAATTCTGACCTCAACTGTTTATGGATTTATACTATTTTATGAAAACAGATTTCAAAAGAATTCAAGAGTTGAAAGAAATGCACTTTCCAGATCATAGCTTAAGTTACTTAAATTGTTTTTCTAATGAGCATTAAAATCAGTCATATTTCTGTTGGATACAAACATAGAGATTTCACCATTATAATAAAATTTGTTGTTCAAATATGTTTTTGTGTGATAGGTTAATTAAAGAGGCATTTCTTGAGAAATATTATGTCTAACTTGTTGTTTTAAGTAAGCATAATTAGGCAAGTTATTGTATAACGATGATTTGATCTGTAGACTATCGAAAAAAATATACCTTAAAATGGTTTTTAAAAAATTAAAAACTGCTTTTATTCTAGCCGAAATAAAACAAATAAGACTTTCTCCGGAAGAAAAAATATTATCAGGCATATTGTAAAAATATCCTTATCTGTTAAACATCATTTGGTAAATAATTAAAAAAGAGAAAAAAATTCAAAGAGGGTTTCAATAATTTTGACTTCAACTCAAAAGAATTTTAGAATTAAAAGAATGCACTTTCCAGACATTTAAATAGCTTAAGTTTCTTGTTTTTTTTTTTTCTAATTAGCATTATTCATATTTCTGTTATATACAAACAGAAACAGTAAAACCAAACCATTACAGTAAAATCCGTTATTCAAATATGTTTTTGTATGATAGGTTAATTAATGAGGCATTTCTTGAGAAATATTATGTCTGATTTATTGTTTTAAGAAAGCATTTTAGATCTATTATAGATAGTAATACCCAACATTATTTGAAATAAGCTATAATGTATAATATTACGAAATGGTATATATATATATATATATATATATATATATATATATATATATATATATACATGCATACATACTGTACATACATACATATATTTATTTATTTATTTTCTGAGGAGACACTTAGAAAAACACTCTGTCACTTTAATGAAATAATAGTGTAAACAGATAAAAAAATAGCCCTTTTGTTTATTTTCAGGATTAAAATATGATGGCAGTTGCTTTCATATTTTCAGTGTGAGCTTCTCTATTGAGAATGGAAAGCTGGAGACATACATAACTGATAAAGCACTGTATTTAATAATACAAATACATTTAGTAATTCAGAGCAGCTCAACTGGGACGCATCATTTTTTTTGTCTCTGTCTACACGGTATTGATGGACAATCGCAGGTTTATCATCGTCATGATGAGCTGCTGTCGAAATCTCTCCTCCTCCTTCCAGCCTTTGGCCTTTGTTTTTTTT